GCCAAAGAAAAATGCTAGGAACAGATTGCCAAGAGATGTAGGCTGTCCTCCCTGAGAGCTTTCTACTTCTGAGTTCAATCAAAAACAAGTTTTTAAGAGTAACAAATAAATGATCAAACCTTGCAGGAATGGGGAAATGCAATAACAAGGGTACTCTGGCGTCAGTGAGAGGTTCATTGGGGGTAAAAGCACCTGCTGCCAAGCCTGGTGATCTGAGTTCAATCCCTGAGACCCACATGGTAGGAGAGAATTAACTCTGACCTCCACACATGCTCTCCCCACGAGTCTTGAAGGCTGTCTAGAATGTCCCTTCTGTTCCCTTTTTTGTTTTGACTTGTTTGAGACAGGGACTTATGTAGCTCAGACTGGCCTCAAACTTGCTGCATAACTGAAAGTGGCCTTAAACTCCTGGTCCCCCTGCTTCTACCTCCCAGATGCTGAACTTACAGACCACCGCCATGGCCAGTCTGTCCCTTTGCTTTGTACTTTTTATTCATTTCTACAGGACCATTGTAGCTGGAGGAGTTTCCCAAGCTCCCTGGTGTGCTCCCCTAGAGTGAAGACCACAGAACTGCCTAGCTGGACCAAACCATCTCACGCTATGCTCCCTTATTCACACCCCAGTTCACGCTCAGGAGTCACCTGTGAATCTCCAGCTGTCTCAGCAACGTCCAGACAGAGACCACTCATCTCTTCGCCCAACAGCAGTTTACTGGCAGCCATTAACATTTAGCAATCAGATTTTATTTCTTCCCTTCACATTATCAAATGCAGGAATTCTCCTTGTAAACATCAGAGTGAGTCAAAAGTCTTCTCTGATCAGCGGGGCTGTCCCATGTCCTCAAGAGAATCACTGTAGGTAGCTGCCTGCTTGTCCTTCCAGAACTATTTTTCAAAATGCACTTTAGATTAATGGAGTCTTGGTGTGCAGGTGCATAATTTATAGAGCTTCTGGGTCAAGGGGACTTCAGTTCTGGAAACTGACTGATGGTATCTGTGCCTTACAAGACTCTGCAGAAACTTAGCACTGACCGTGCTCTGGCGGCCCTTCCTCCTTTCCTCTGAGGTCAGCTGTCACTTACCTTTCTCTTCCAAACTCTGTCCTCATCTCTCTGGGTTCATGGAACACAGATATTATAGACCAGTGACTTATCCCATTGCTGTGACAAATGTCCAACAAGAGGAACTTAAGGAAGGAAGGAAGGAAGGAAGGAAGGAAGGAAGGAAGGAAGGAAGGAGGGAGGGAGGATGGGAAGGGAGGGGAGGAAGGAAGGAAGGAGGGAGGAAGGGAGGGAGGGAGGGAGGTTAATTTGTTTGGGGGGCTGTAATGCATCATGGCAGAGAAGGCATGTTGGTAAGGAGGCAGGGCACATTGTGTCCACAGTATAAAACAGAGAGAGATGAACGATTTTAGCTTTCTTATTGAGCCTGTGGGATGGTGCTGCCCATTTGGGGGGGCGGTGTTCCTCTCTCAGTTAACTTGTCTGGATATATCCTCATGGACACATCTAGAGATATATCTCCCAGGTGATTTTAAATGCATTCAGGTTGACAACGGAGGTTAGCAGTCATACAATGCTGTTCCTTTCTTGGATTTACAAACCCACATCTGTCACCAAAATATATACTGAGTTAAGGCTGAGAGGAAATTAAAGGTTCCTGAAAGTCCAGCTTAGGACAAAGCAAATTCTAGCCTTGCTCCAAGTGGGATCATTACCCAGGCAGAACATGGGCACTGTTCCTATGACTTTGGAACCACATCTAGTTGAATAAATACCTTCCATGCCTCCATCCATCCATCCATCCATCCATCCATCCATCCATCCATCCATCCATCACCAACAGTAATATTCACTTGCCTCTGTAGCAGTAGGGGCTGCTGCTGCGTAGGTGGCAGCAGAAGGTTCTGGAAGGTCTACGTGAGGTGTGGAGGGAAGGCCTGAGGAGCATGGCACATCATTTGCTATCCAACAGACTCCTGGGGCTAGTCTGAGCATTTGTGCCCAGAAGAGCCAAAGGAAGGCACCAGAGACTAGGTTTTGAGAGTGTTTTGGGGGTTCTGGGGTGCATAGTACATTTTATTAACCTGCTTTTAACTGCAGGAGCAAAGCACCTGATAAACAACTTAACCAGACATCCTGGTGGTCCATCGCTGTCATTCCAGCCACCTAGGAGGCTGGGGCAAGAGGATGGCAAGTGCAAGGATAGCCTGGTGCTACACAATGAAGCCCTATCTCAAAATAAAATATAAAAGGAGGCATGGAGATATAGCTCAGTGGTGCATGCTTGACCAGCATGTGTGAGGCCTTAGGTTCAGCACTCCATACCTGAAACAAAACAAAACAGATCTCAAAGGAGGACAGGTTCTCACTTTGGTGGTTTGGCTTTGCTGGTTTGAGACGGAGAGGTTGAGCACCCTGTCAGGGAGCATGTGATTGGGCAGAGCTACTCACTTCTCAGTGGCTAGGAAGGAGAGAGGGAGGGGCCAGAGGAGAGGAAGAGGGGAGGAGAGAGGAGAGGAGAGGAAAAGAGAGGAGAGTAGATGAGGGGGAGGAGAGGAGAGGGGAGGGGAGGAGAGGAAAAAGAGGAGGGGGAGAGGAAAGGGGAGGAGAGGAGAGGAAAGAGGAGGGAGGAGAGGAAAGGAGAGAGGAGGGGAGAAGATAGAAAGGAATTA